CCCCAGGGCCGGGGCAACACGGAGTGCTAATGGGGGGGGGGGTGCTACGTGTCCGTGGTCCCCACGATCTCGCCCCGCAGCCGAGTCGGGCGCAAAGGGCAGCAGGGCCGGAGCCGCGAGCGCTGCTGAACTCGGCCAAGCCCAGCGCTCTCCCGTCTTGGCAGCGGCGGCTCTGATGCTGCCAGTTGGGCGCTAGAGGGGGTTAGCCGACAGCAAAAAAAATTCCCTCCACTGCTGCAGGTGGACGAGGCTAAGCACGCAAGGAACCCACAGGAAGGAGGAAGGCTCGTGAGATAAACTTAACGCGTTTAAGGGCGCGCCCGCCGAGGAAGCTGTATCGCTGGGGTGGGGATTTCTGCAATACTGCATTCGTTGTTACAATTATCATCATCTTCTTTCTTGAGGGGTTTTAAACCGTTACAGTCCGGTGAGGTTGGAAAACCTACCTCAAAACTCATCAGACGGTTTTGAAGAAATGTTGATGGCAATGGAGAAAAGTGAACCGAAAAGAGAAAGCAGCGGTATTCTAACGGGTAGACGATATTTTCCAAGTGGGCAGAGGGCACGGGAGGGAAACGGCACAGTGGCGGGAGGTGGGAGAGCATAGACGAAGGAGCAAAGGGTCAGTGTTTATAGCTTACAGAATTCTGGCAGTGAAAGGACCCTCCCATTCAATACGGTTCAGTGCTGCGATTTTATGTCACATTCCATAGTTGAAGGGATTTCACTTAATGCCTTACAGTCAATTGGAGGGAAAGAGGAGAGCAAGAAATGCCCTACGTCTAAAATTCTGCTACGTGGAGAAAAATGTGAAATGCAAGCGATTTCGAAAATGTGAGGAAGGGTTCCAATTGGTGACTGCACTTCCACTGTTACTACGAATTCAGACGCTGCCTCTCTTTAAAGATGTCCGCGCCAATTTAAATGTATGCAAATCACTCCTGAAAAGATAACCATGCGTGGCGCTTATATATCAGTACTTAAAGGAGTAAAAATCTGATTTTGCTGCTCATTTTACCACTCTTACGGATACCGACTGATCACATGGGTATTTGCAAACTTAGTTTACGTTTACAAACTCAGTTGTAAAGTAAAAAAACTACATTATGACCATTATGATATAAATCATTATGCCTAAGTAAATGATGTTCTTAGAAATATTTACTGATTCATTCTACTGATGTTTTGATTCAAAATAATATATTTCTTTGTATACATTTTCAGAATATATTTCCGTGACCTTTTTATAATTTTTTTCTCCTTTTTAAATGTTGATTTGCAGTGAACAATTTTATAGGCTTCATAACAACTCACTAAAAGAGAAATATTGTTCAAGAAGACTCTCGTTATAAATGCCTAAAATATACTACCTTCTGATAAACTGAAGGAATGTGTAATAGTATTATCTTAGAAATGTAAACTGTGTTAATTTATTTCTAAACTTTTATTTTTCAAATTAACCAGATGTTTTAAATGTAACATTACCAAAAGGAAGTTATTTCAAGATAATCTCCATCATAAACATATTTTAAAATCAAAGTTTAAAATCAAGTACTGATGTTTTGCTTGAGTGTTAAATTTTAGATAATATACCATCAATATAGAAAACCAAGAAGCTTCAGTTAAAATTAGACTAGAAGGGAATGGTTCTAATGGAAGAAAGGAAGAAAGAAGAAGAAAAAGAGGAAAAAAGAAAAGCTAAGGTTAATTTGTAGGACTCATGCATAGTTACAAATCATGGCACAATATCTGAACCATAAACTGATACTTCAAAGTAAGAATAACAGCTTGATTAACCTGAGTTTCTACCCCCCCCCCCCCCGTCCCAGCTACAATTTACTTAGAATTAATAAGTTTTGTTTGTCTAAATAAGCCATAGTCATGCTTGACATAATATATGTTACTTACCAGGTCAGGTAGTTGACAGTTATATTCTGGTTTGGGGTTTTAAATAAAAATAATTACAAGACTTTTCAGTATTGAAGCATGCTTTATGTATTTAGATATGTTTAGATACTGTCTGTTGCATGTCTAAAGGATAATGACCTCTTAAGTAAAAACTCATCTCAAAAATGAATTGAAATGTTTATCATGACCTTTGACTACAGCAAGATTCCATGTGTTTGGCATGATTATTAATTTCAAAACATGATTATAAAAGGAATTATCATAACCACTTGACAATTTTGTGTGTTATAAATTATATATATGTATACACACAAAAATGTTTCTATGCATATTCTTTCTAAAATATTTTTGATCTTTTTTTAATGTGCTCAATTCTCACTCAGGAGAGAGTTGATAGTAAATTACTTTGCGTGAATAAAAATAATTTGTTTTATAAACCTAACATTTTAAGTATAGTCATGGTTATCTTATGTGAGCGAGAAGAAATTGCACTTAACAGAAATGTACTTCCTCTTTTATTTTCTAGCAGTGTTGATA